TATTAGATCTGGACACATGTCGCGCGCTGATTCGTTCGCATATTCTTTCCTGGGCACTTATTCGCACCTGAGTGCATCCCTATATATATATATATATATATATATATATATATATATATATATACACACACACACACACACACACACACAAATGACTATAAAAGAACACATGATCAATTGCAAAGCCATAAGAAATTCAAAATGAAGAGGTGAATAAAGACTAAAATGTATGCACTTGTATAATAATAATAACAATGACAAAATAGTAATTCATTATTGAATTAACAATTCCATATAATTGCAATTTCTTCCAACAAAATCAAAGAATATAAATTCTATGGAGTTTAGTAGGAATGAAATTACAATTTTATCTTACCAAACATCCCCTTATAGTTGAAAAATTAGAAATAAAGTTCTTTAATTAACCTATGTATTAATTACAATTACTGACATAGAATCTTTTGATTTAACATTAATTAGTATTGTACCCGTGCGATGCACGGATATGACTTATGTTAAGTAATGTTACTTAAATATTAACATATATAATAAATTGTAAATAACAACATACTTAATAATAAAATAAAATAAAAATAATATACTGATGTTTTCAATGACTTCACATTGAGATAAATGTACACACTTTTATTTGTAATATGTATTTGTTTAATTATTATAAACTAATTGAAGAGTTATTTTATTTACATTAGAAGGTTTGGACATTTATATCTCTAGCATATTGAAATTAAACCATTACAATGCAAAAAAATCAAATCAATCAATTTAACTAAAAAAACATCCACCAATGTTACTTTTTTTTTTTTTTTTTGAATGCTACTAGCTCTATTACATTGTAGTATCTGTTCATATCCACCAATGTTACTTAAATATTAACATATATAATAAATTGTAAATATTAACATACTTAATAATAAAATAAAAACAATATACTGATGTTTATATTCATTATTTATTTATTTATATTCAGTATTTAATTACATATATTAAAAAATAAGATGACTCTTTCTAATGTAAACAGATGTTGTTGCGGTTCGTAGTTGGTGTAAATTATGATTTATTTGCATCCTTCATATTGCAAAACTTCGAAAACAAATTTGTCTATAACTTTGTTATAGAGAGACACCAAGAGGATATAGTGGTTTCAGTTTGAGGACTATGGAGACAATCTGAAGAAGCCAAAGCAGCCCAAAGGCTTCATGGTGTGCACTGCATTCAATGTCCCTCTCATTTTTCATTTGCAGGTTTTGTTGTTCACCTGTAAACATAATAGATTTTTTACATGAAAATTGTTTCCACTTTACACGGACTAAGATGTTGTTTTCACTTATCATTTTATAATAGTTTTTAAGTTTCCCTACGAGATATTTAAAAACTGTTTTTTTTTCCTATGAGATATTTAAAAACTATTTTAAGTTTCCCTGTTAGATATTTATTATCTTACAATTTACAGCGTTTAAGAGTTTTTTCCCTAAGAGGAGCCATGATTGAAACTACGGTGGCGAACCTAGTTTGAATTGCACTCAAACTTTGTATCTGTGTATACTGTAAATCTGTAATGGTAGTTTGAGATGGATGCTAATATGTATTTATAGCCTAGAAGAATGTAGATCATAAATTAGGTTATGGTTATGGTATTTATTATATTATCAATTAGACAATTACCAATTATGTACTCAGTCAATCATTATTACATGGACCATGGTCCACACAATTGTGTAGACCATAAATAAAAAGTACATTTTAATATACTAAGGGAACATTATTTTATATAATGTACCTTCAATACAAAAATAATGTACTTTCAATACAAAAATAATATACTTTCAATATATTAAAAATGTACCTAATATTCATGGTCCACACAATTGTGTGGACAATAATTTTCCGTACTCATTTGACCGTAATATTCTTATTCTACAAAAACAATGCAATATGTAAAATTATGTACTCATTTGACCGTAATTATGAAGATACCATAATTATGTATTATTATTTACATAAACATTTAATTATTTTTGGTAAATATATTGTTTCAATTTGGTTCAGTATTTAATCCGAAGAAGTACTAATGAATTTTTCCATTATACTTAATTACTTTATTTGCTTCCATAGATAAATTACCGATTCTTGAATTTTCCCATTATACTTAATTACTTTATTTGCTTCCAAAAATAAATTATCGATTCTTGATTTCCATTTTTTTAAAAAATGATTTAGGAAGATTTTGTTCAATATTTCCACATGATAATCTACGACACGCATCTCACAACACATGTAACATGTAGGGGAAAAAACTACCACTGACAAGTATCAACAGGCGCTTGCAAGATAAAAAATTCATAGTACAACTAAGATCCCAGTCATATATATAGCAACGCAAATATAAAAGAATAATTTGCTAAAAATGAATTTGATATTACTAATTGACTTAAAATATAAAAGGATCGCTAATTGACTAATACTCAAACATTATATATTTTCATCCGAGTCACCTATCCTAATGGACTGAAGGTGTTAGCTCTATACGATGATGGACATGATTGCGTTGCTACTACCAATGTCGTCTACAAAGAGGTTTCAATAATGTATAAATACAATCGTTGATATTATGTTTTTTTAAATGACAAAAATGCTATATATCTAGACAATATATATATATATATATATTCCATACAAATGAATTAAGATAGCAATTCATTCCTATAACTGATGAGTTGCTAGAGAACGAACACATTTGCCTAATTTATAAAAAAAAATACTAAACAATGATAAATAAAATCTCCAAAGTTACAACACCGCATGCGTACATCTACACATTAGCTATTAATTTGAGCAATTATTTGCTCAAATTCAAACAATGATAACATCAAAACACATAAATAATCCAAACCATATCTTCAATTGTACTATATAATATTTGATGTTCCAATTTAAATAATTATATATCAGTCCAAGTATTTTTAATATATTATAACAAATTCATTCCGTGCATCGCATGAGAGAAAATACTAGTTCATAGTACAACTAAGATCCCAGTCATATACATAGCAAGACAAATATAAAACTTTCTACGCCATAATCTCATTGCACAACACTACCCTTTATGTTACCACCAATAACTTAATTGCACAATGACACACTACCAATAAAAAAGAAGAGGACAAGTACTGAAGAGGAAGACAATGACAACGCTATTCAAAAGAGAATTAAGAAGACTTAGAGAAATTTAAACTAAAAGTAGTATTTATTTAGACTAAGTATTTAGACTAGCGTTATTATATAGTTGCAAACATTTATTTTAGTGACAATTAAAATCAGTCTCTCATATATTATCTTGCATTTATATACTTTGAATTACTAATTTAAATAAACAAATTCAATATCCAATTACCTATGCATAAACATCTCCTATATAATCTTGAATTGATATATTCAAAAATAATCATTGGACATTATCTTACGTGAAAAAACTAGTATTACTTATATGAGAAAGTGTAATACTTTTGAAAAAAAAATGTAATACTTTTACATTTTGATTTAAAAGTATTACATTTTTTTCAAAAGTATTATATTTACTCTTATAAGTAACAAACACTCAACATTATTTATAAGGGAAAATGTAATACTTTTATATTTTATGTTAAAGTATTACTTTTCCTAAAAAAATATTATAGTTTACATTATAAGTAACAAACACGTTATTTCTTATTAGTATTATATTTTTTAATAATAGTATTACATTTCAATATTGACATGACTTACATATAAAAATTCGTCAGATAGTTTCACACAAGTGTGACTTTTTTTGGTGAGGTAAGAGAGGCTAAGCCTCATAACTATTTGTTTCTACGGGTGGCCGCACTCCCCGCATCGCTTATGAGAAGGTTGGCAAGACCTTTCGGATATCACACAGAACCAAAGTATCTTAATTACTACTTTGACCGAGGCTCGTCATGAAGTCTGAACATTTGTTTCCCTCCTCCCCTCCCGGAAAGGTGTGGGCTAATGAAATTCTTCATAGTATACACTCAAATTTGAAGTGATCGAAAGGTGTCTTTGAGCGACACTATAGTTTATTGTCTAAAACTAAACCAAGCCACGAAAACTCAATGATTTTTTTGGGAAAATGGTCAAATAGGCTCTCAAACTTTATCTAAAAAGTCAATTAGGTCCTTAAACTCTTTAAAGTTACAATTAAACTCATCAACATTTTATTTTGGTGTAATAAAGTCCAAAAACTAGTTAGTGACGTGTGATAGTAGGTCACTAGGATTTCGACAAACCCCTGGCACTACTTTCGACCATAAATTGTCGTCGATCACCATAGAAGAATCCGAAAAAGGCGACTAAGATTGGTCGCCTCTTCCTCTAGAGGTGACCAGGTTTTGGTCGCCTTCTTTGGGAAGGCGACTCCGAAGGAGGCAATTAGAACTAGTCTCCTTCTCTGGAGGAAGCGACCAGAATTGGTCACCTCTAGAGAAGGCGATCATTTCTGGTTGCCTTCTCTAGGAGGCGACTAGGTTTTGGTCGCCTTCTCCAGAGAGGCGAGCATTTCTGCTATGTTATTCTATGGCGACCAACATCACTCGTCGGTTGATTTGTGATTAGTGTCGGAGTGTCACTGGAACCTTAATGACCTGCTATCATAGGTCACTAACCGATTTTTGAACTTCATTGCACCAAAATAAAATGTTGATGAGTTTAATTACAATTTTAAAAAGTTTAAGGACCTAATTAACTCTTAAGGTAAATTTCGAGGACTTATTCCATCATTTTTCTCATTTTTTAAAAATGTTAATGTGTCTAAAATGTGTGTCTCAATGTGGAATTATACAAAAAAGAGTGTCGATTTGATAATTTAAAAAACTTGGTTCTTTTTGCCAAGGAGCCGAAGAGGAGTTGGTAAGATGACGCAGTGAAGGGTAATACAGTAATTCCGCGCGACACTTCACTGGCTTTAAAGCTCCCACCTCGTCTTCCTCCATTTCCTGCGCTACTCTCAATCTCCACTCTTCTCTGACTCATTTTCCAGCCTAAACCCCTCCAAACCCGCCGCCATGGATCCCGTCTCAGAATGGGGAAACACTCCGCTCGCCGTGGTGGACCCGGAGATCCACGACCTAATCGAGAAGGAGAAGCGGCGCCAGTGCCGGGGGATCGAGCTGATCGCCTCGGAGAATTTCACCTCCTTCGCCGTCATCGAGGCCCTCGGCAGCGCCCTCACCAACAAGTACTCCGAGGGCATGCCGGGGAACCGCTACTACGGCGGCAACGAGTACATCGACGAAATCGAGAACCTCACCCGCAGCCGCGCGCTCCAGGCCTACCGCCTGGACCCCACCAAGTGGGGCGTCAACGTGCAGCCCTACTCCGGCAGCCCCGCCAACTTCGCCGCCTACACGGCGGTGCTCAACCCGCATGACCGGATCATGGGGCTGGATTTGCCCTCCGGCGGGCATTTGACTCACGGGTACTATACTTCCGGCGGGAAGAAGATCTCCGCTACCTCGATTTACTTCGAGAGCTTGCCGTACAAGGTGAATTCCGCCACCGGGTACATCGATTACGATAGATTGGAGGAGAAGGCCCTGGATTTCAGGCCGAAGTTGATCATCTGTGGTGGCAGTGCTTACCCTAGAGATTGGGACTACAAGAGATTCAGAGAGATTGCTGATAAATGTGGGGCGCTTTTGCTCTGCGATATGGCTCACATTAGTGGCCTCGTTGCCGCTCAGGTATTAAATCAAATCTTCAACTCATGCACGCTCAATTTTGGTGTTGATTAGATCTGCATGTTTAGTTTGAATCATAGATCTGCATGTGATCTGGATCTTACATTGCTACATTATTGTTCCTTTGCCGTCAATTCTGCTAATTGCTGAAATCTGTTTGTTTCTGGATCAGTGTGCAAGGTAAGGTTTTGTTTCTTAATCAGATCAGATTTGAATGCATGTGAGTTTAAATCTGGGATTTGTGTTCTATAATGAGCTGCATTTTGTAGGGAAAATAGTGTTATTTGATCTGATAATGGAACCTCACATTTGTATGTTCTGTTGGTTTGATATTAATACATATTTCTTCTGGTAATGGTGTCATCAAAAGCATGATCTCTTGTTACACTGTAAAACACTAATTTATTATGGATCTAGGATCTTGAATATTGCAGCTCAATATGTTGAGCATATAATATAATATATAAACATAAATCTGCGGTGGTGTAGTACAACCATCAGCTTCGGCTTTTAGTTGAGATGGAGTATATGCTTTCCTTCAATATTGTAAGAAATTTTTAAGGTTGCCCGTACGGGCAGTGTGTGGATTATGCCCAAAGTGGGCAGATCCTTTATGCACACGGCATTTGGTTCTGTCTGCTGAGCCATTGAGTTACTGTGATTTACATCCTCTCACATGCTATGTTGTATGAAGGTGTGGGGCCCTTGGGGTTGGGGATTCAACCTTTTGGGAGAAGAAAATTTTAAGGTTGCATACCTAGTATTGTGTTTTTGGAAATTTTAACATGATGTATTTACAATGACATTTTGTGGCTTCCTTATCACTACTGTTATATTAGGCAACATCTGATTGGAACGTGTGGTTGTGATTTGTCTGTGTAGGAAGCAGCTGATCCTTTTGAGTACTGTGATATTGTCACCACCACAACTCACAAGAGCTTGAGGGGGCCTAGGGCTGGTATGATTTTTTACCGCAAGGGCCCCAAGCCACCGAAGAAGGGACAACCGGAGGGTGCAGTGTATGACTTTGAAGACAAGATCAACTTTGCGGTTTTCCCATCTCTGCAAGGCGGTCCCCACAATCACCAAATTGGTGCTTTGGCTGTTGCCCTAAAGCAGGCCGCGTCTCCGGGCTTTAAGGCCTATGCTAAGCAAGTCCGGGCCAATGCAGTTGCGCTCGGCAACTACTTGATGAACAAAGGGTACAAGCTCGTCACTGATGGGACTGAGAACCACCTTGTTCTATGGGACCTTCGTCCTCTTGGTTTGACTGGTAATGCAATTGGGCGCTCAATCTTTCGGAACTCTCTGCATTTCGGGGATTAGTAATCATTGATGGATGTATCTTGATTCTCTTTGCAGGTAACAAGGTCGAGAAACTCTGTGACCTGTGCAACATTACCGTGAACAAGAACGCTGTATTTGGTGACAGTAGCGCTCTTGCCCCTGGAGGAGTTCGCATTGGTAAGACTAATCGATTGTTGTTATATGCTTATATGCATCACTCTATACGAGATTTCTGGTTGATCTTCTTGCTTGGCTAACCCTATTAAAACACTTACTAAGAAATCTTAGACGGGGATCATTTGGAGAGTAGAGTTCTTGTAGTATTTCCCCGCCCTGTTTTCCTTGTATGATATGAGTGAATGAGAATCTTGTGTGGTCAGGTGCTCCTGCCATGACATCAAGGGGTTTGGTCGAGAAGGACTTTGAGCAGATTGCCGAGTTCCTCCACAGGGCTGTGACCCTCACCTTGAGCATCCAAAAGGAGCACGGGAAATTCTTGAAGGACTTCAACAAGGGTCTCGTTAACAACAAGGAAATCGAGCAGCTCAAGGCCGATGTTGAGAAGTTCTCGGCCTCCTTTGACATGCCCGGCTTCAAAACATCCGAAATGAAGTACCAGGACTAGGCAACATTTTCCTTATGTATGCATCATATGCTCCAATACGAATTTGAGAATTTCCCTTGTGTTAATTCAATTCATGGCTTATGCTGAAGAACAATAATGTTGTCTCTGTATCATTCTCTACTTGGTGTTTTAGGATTTTAGTGTTTAAATTGTCGCATGAACTTGTAGGAGTTGCTCCAAAGTTGATAAAACTTTGAAATGATTTCCATGTCTCAAATGATTTTGTAATTCATACTATTTTCTGTGTGTTTTACTAATTCAATCAAATATATACAGTGATTGGCAAAAATGAAAACTACACTTCTCCGCCTCAATCAATTATTTCTTTTTAAAAAGATTATTCTTTTATTTTCATTATTCTTTATTGGGAAAAATGTCAAATAGGCATTTAAATTTTATATGAAAAGTCAAATAAGCTTTTAAAATTTTGAAAGTTACAAATCAACATGATTTGTAAATTTGTAATAGCTCAAAAATTGACTAATTGGCGATTGTTCGTTAGTTATCTAATGCGAAAATTCTAGTGACCATCTAATACAGGTTAATAATCCACTTTTGAGTTTTGATATACAAATATAGTATGTTGATAAGTTTAATTATAATTTTAAAAAATTTGAGAGTTTAATTAACTTTTTGTATAAAGTTTAGGGATGAATTTGATACTTTTTCATTATTTATTCTACACAATTAAAATGATTTCAGAAATGACAACTAAGCCGCAATGGAGGTACCATTTCTTCGAAGATCCAATTGGGGGCGTTTGGTCTCTGACCGACAACCATTTCGGGCCACATTAGCTAAGAATAATAAATGGTTGTGAATGTTCAAACTCGTGTGGTAGTCTCATTTGGATTTTGGACAAAAAAGTAGTTGTGGTCGGAGGCCCATTCGATATTAATATAATGAGAGGTCCAACTTGCAATTGCAATTGGTATAATTTGCCTCCAACTTGATATTAACCAATAGTTATATCATCAACTAAGGTCCACTATGTTCACTGTGGACCATGTAACATTCATGTACATGTTGCACACTCCGGGCAAATTATTGTATGGATCACGGTCTAAAATGACATCGTTAAAATTTAAGAGTTAGAATAATGTACTTTATGTGTTTGAATAATGAAACTTATAAGGTAATATAATGTACTTTATGAGTTAGAATAATGTATATTATGAGTTATAAAAATGTATTTTGCAGTGAGTCGTGTGAAAAAAAATTACACAAAACGACGTTTTTTTTTACCATGACACAATAACTATTGTACGTTCTGTTAGAAAAATACTACATGACCTCTAAAATCTACTCCCAACTTTTCCTGTGTTCAAATTTTATTGGAGAAAAAAAAAGGATTATAATGGATAAAAATCAGGATCCCTATTATATTAAGCAATCAAAGCATACCACATCATACTGAGTAGAAAATAGAAGTATAAAATTAGAGTACATGTATAATTACTCATTCTGTTAACTACATATCTCGATCAAAATTTACAATACCCATGGTTGCCCGCCCCTAGGCCCTAGCCATGGCCTCAATACAAAGTCTCAGTTCAAGTCTTGAAAATACAACTATTCTCATAACTTATGAGGAAGTGTTTTTCACATTTGAGATCCTATCTAACACAAATAAAATTAAACTCAATGCCTGGTGCGCAGGGTCCTAAATATACTTTACTGGGAATTGAAATCTGTGGTAGACAAAAAAAAAAAAAAAAAAAAAAAAAAAAAAAAAAAAAAAAACCATAATCCCTGGGTGCATATATCATTGGAATCTTCTGATCTTTTATTCTATGACTGGTGATTTGATTGGAAGGAATGAATTAAGGTGGAAATGAATTATAATTCGGTGGAAAAGAATAAGGTAGGAATAAAGTAGAAATTCAAATTACACTGTTTGGTATGCAAAGTAAGATTACAGGGAATTAGTGGCGGACTCAGAAATTTTGTTCAGTGAGGGCGAAACATTAGAACAAAAAGGATAGCTTAAAACAGATGAAATAGTTAAGAAATTAACCATAAATATTGTTAGATATGAGCGAAAAAAATATGTATAACAAAATATGAAACATAATTAATTTGATAAAATAATTCTAATAGAAAACACATTATAAATTACACATTTTATTATCAATAGAAAACACATTATAAATTACACATATGAAGTTAGTCATAAATATTGTTAGATATGAACGAAAAAAAAAATTTATAACAAAGAATTTTTTTCCAAAATGGTCCCTCGACTATTGCCCATTCTCAATTTTGCATTTCGACTTTCAATTGCACCCAATGTGGTCCATTGACTTTAAAAAATTCACCCAAAATGGTCCTCCGTTAGGTTTTGCGTCAACTCAACGTTAATTGTGAGGGTATTTCGGTCAATTCACAGTAAAATTGTCACCTCCCTTTCTAGCTCCCATCCGGCGATGCACCCATTTTGTCCGGCGACGAAACGATCACCTCCTCTCCCATTTTTTTTCTTCATTCTAGCAACATCAACCTCCAGAGAAAGCATAGTACGAGCAAAATATCTCGCAAGATACCATTTTTCTGACTCAAAACCTGTTGATTCCTCAGATTTATGATTCAGATTTGGAACTGAAAATTCACCCAAAAAAACATATTGAAATTATCGGAAGCCATGCCGCCTTCAGAGATGTAAAATCTTAGAGTGACAGAGATCAGGCGGACGTTTTGGCCGGCCATCGCCACCACCGAATCCCTCTCCGTCTCCGGCAAAGTGCATGCAATCATCAGCATAGCTATTGCAACTGTGAAGATCGGATTTGAACTTCTGAACATCGTCACAGCTTCGGTGAGCAAATCGCAGCCATAGAAGGGTGTATTCCATCAAAATTTCCGCAGGTCAAGAAAACCAGACACCTCCAGCTCGTTAACCACTGCTATGCGCCGGAGGAGGACCAGCCGAAGGTCGCCGGTGTTAACCACCGTCATCCCCGCTCGCTGTCTTGCCGGAAAGAAGCCAGAGGCCGACATCGCTGCTTGTCGCGTTGGTTTCTCCGTCTGATTGCTTATTCGACGGAGAATCGGAGCCTCCGGCACCGGAAGGTTCTCCTCGGGGATTAATTTTTCTCCGACTGCGACGAATTTCCAAGCTAGCGGCGTAATCGACGGTGATTCGGAACCTAATTATTCTCCGACTGAAAATTGGGGATTAATTTTTCTCCGACTGAAAAACGAATCAGAACCTAATTATTCTCTACTGGTGTCTCCTTGGGGATTATTCGACAGTGAATCGGAGCAATTTCCTTTCGACGGCGAATCGGAGGCTGTGATGATATTTTCTAATTATTCTCCGACAGTAAATTGGCCCAAAAACGATATTTTCCAACTACATGAACGACGTCGTTTGGAACATCAGCCTTACTTGCCTTCCACCGATGTGAATTGACCATAATACCCCCACAATTAACGTTGAGTTGACGCAAAACCTAACGGAGGACCATTTTGGGTGAATTTTTTAAAGTCAAGGGATCACATTGGGTGCAATTGAAAGTCGAAATGCAAAATTGAGAATGGGCAATAGTCGAGGGACCATTTTGGGAAAAAACTCTTATAACAAAATATAAAACATAATTAATTTGATAAAATAATTCTAACAGAAAACACATTATAAATTACACATCTTATTATTAATAAAAAACACATTATCTTAATATTAATATAAAATAAAACTATATACATATATTTTGAAAGTATTATAAAGTATATACATATATTTTGAGAGTTAAAACTATATTGAAGCCACTATTATTCAAATTGCCAAAATATATACATTCACGCCATTAGCCAGACTCAAACCCCTGACATAGCTTACACACATGTTCTACCATCTGGGCTAGGTTTACTTTCGTTAAACTTTGTACTATATATACTTATACTTAAACCTTGTACTATATATACATACATATACACATACAAGGGTTATATATGAGGTGGGGGTGCGGTGAGTGGGGGCAGCTGCCCCCACTGCCTCCACTGTAGGTCCGCCCCTGCAGGGAATTGAAAGACAATAAGTGATACAATGATTGGAATGCCTTCATGTAATAATAATAATAATAATAATAATAATAATAATAATAATAATAATAATAATAATAATAATAATAATAATAATAATAATAATAATAATAATAATAATAATAATGCCTTCAGGGACAAAAATGTCTTTCCGATCTCCAATTCAACATTGAATTACAATTCCTAGGGGGAGTCCGGAATTGTAATTCAGCATTTGGAGGGAATTGCAATTCCCTCCAACCAAACGGCGTAATTGTGGTCTCCGCGGAATTGCAATTCAATTACGCCTAAACTACCTCCAACCAAACAGTCCATGAATGAAAAATAGATGTCCGCATAAGCAGCTCAACTGGTTAAAGAGGTGAAAAGTTGTAAGAACAACCAGGGATCGAGTCTCACCCACTCAAAATGAGGGGACTCCTTGTGCACAGTAAGCAAAGGATTCATGTTCAGTTGAATTCTCATTTTTTACATCCTCCCAGATGCTTTATCGGACCGGAGTGTGGATAGTCCTTAGGGTTGAGATTTAACCTTTTGGAAGAATGAATGAAGAATAGACACATTCAGTGTTTACCCAGGAATTAAACATGTGAATATGTGATACTAGGCTCTGTAATTCTGGCTCAACTAACAGTCATATCAGTGTCTGTTTGAACCATTCTGCAGAAGAGAGAGAGAGGGAAAGAAAGGTGTAGAACGTGGGTAGTACTATGATGGAGCTGTACGTGCGTGGCCACATGGTTTAGGACAAAAAACTGTTTCTTCTTTTGTTTTTTTTGGGGTGAAAAACTGAAAACTCACTACATATATACAAACACAGAGTACAGTAGATGATTGTCGTGAACTAACTAATGGAGTGCAGTCGGTCGGTGGATACTATTATCTCAATTGTTATATCGTGCATCAAGACACACAATAAAATTTCATATTTTATATGTACATAATTGTATAATTGTATAATAGAAAACTTCTAACATAATACACATAATCTAACATAATAATACATAATACACATAAAATTTTAACATAATACACATAACTCTTAAGGCGAACGATATAATTTGCCCTATTATTTTGCCCTCTCCCCTAACCAAATGTCAATACCAAAATACATCAATAAGGGCTGCCCCAAATTGTTATACAGTGGTCCACAGTGCATCATGTGGATCATGATCGTCGAATTAAATTGTACTATAATTAAAATGATATTTTAGTATTGCTATAATGAAACAAGTGTGTATGGAGAATA